TTAGATGGTCGCATCCAGAGGGTAGTGGTCAACGGCTCAATGTCCAGATGGAGACTGGTAACGAGTGGCGTCCCACAGGGATCCGTATTGGGACTGGTACTGTTTAATATCTTCATCAGTGACATAGACAGTGGGATCGAGTGCACCCTCAGCAAGTTTTCCGATGACACCAAGCTGTGTGGTGCGGTCAACATGCTGGAGGGAAGGGATGCCATCCAGAGGGGCCTTGAGAGGCTTGAGAGGTGGGCCCGTGTGAATGTCATGAAGTTCAACAAGGCCAAGTGCAAGGTCCTGCCCCTGGGTTGGTGCAATCCCAAGCACAAACACAGGCGGTGCAGAGAATGGATTGAGAGCAGCCCTGAGGAGAAGAACTTGGGGGTGTTTGTTGATGAGAAGCTCAACATAAGCCGGCAATGTGTGCTTGCAGCCCAGAAAGCCAACTATATCCTGGGCTGCATAAAAAAGAAGGGTGTCCAGCAGGTCGAGGGAGGTGATTCTCCCCCTCTACTCTGCTCTGGTGAGACCCCACCTGGAGTACTGCATCCAGCTCTGGGGGTTTGAGGCCCCCAACATAAGAAGGACATGGGCTTGCTGGAGCGAGTCCAGAGGAGGGCCACGAAGGTGATCAAAGGGCTGGAGCACCTCTCCTATGAAGACAGGCTGAGACAGTTGGGGTTGTTCAGCCTGGAGAAGAGGAGGCTCCGGGGAGACCTTATAGCAGCCTTCCAGTACCTGAAGGGGGCCTACAAGAAAGCTGGAGAGGGACTTTTTACAAGGGCATGTAGTGAGAGGACAAGGGGTAGTGGCTTTAAACTGAAAGAGGGTAGATTTAGATTAGATATAAGGAAGAAATTCTTCACTATAAGGGTGGTGAGGCACTGGAACAGGTTGCCCAGAGAAGTTTTGGATGCCCCATCTGTTCAAGACCAGGTTGGATGGGGCTTTGAGCAACCTGGTGTAGTGGACCATGGCAGGGGGGTGGAACTAGATGATCTTTAATGTCCCTTCCAACCCAAACCATTCTATGATTCTATGAATAACTTCTTTTTTGTTGATTTGCAAAATGAGAAATGGAGGTACTAAATGAGGCTGACTTCTCCAGGAATAGATCCAGACAATAAGAGATTTTCAGCCACTTTGCAATGATCCAGTTGATACTGGGCACAGCTATTGTTAATTTTGCTGTGTAGATTTCTTTAAAAATATTATATGAAGAGGCTATGTAACATATAGCGCAGATTTTAAATATTGACCAAGGTGACTAATTTTCTTAGGTATTCTGTTGAATACCTAAGGTTATTTTCATGCT